ACGCTCTCGTTAAGGGACAGGAAAGCAGGTACCGCAGTCATCGTTTTAAAAAAAAAAACTTTTTTGAGGGCATTTTGGAAAAGGTTTTTTTTTTCTCGGCCGCTTTTCTGAGGGAAACAGGAAACAGTGCCATCCTGTGGTATAGAAGGAATAACAGGGAGAAGAGGGGGAAAAACTCTTAATACGTTATTAATATTAATAGGAAAACATGAGGCCGAAGCTCTCAAGAGATGGACAGTAAAAGACATCCCACTTCAAAAGATCGAAACTGAAAGTCAGGTAAGAAGCGTTTGGGGTTAGGGTCGGGGTGGGGTCGGGGGTCTGGGTTAGTTAGTGGTGTGGTGTGGTGATCTGCTCGCATTGCTGCTTTTGTGATTGGACCGACAAACTGAGCTATCGATCTTGAAGGGATGTATACTGTGGGGGGATAGAATTGTCATTCATGAAAGAATGCAGGAAAAAGTACTGTGCATGCTACATGAAGGACACCCGGGTATCGTCAAAATGAAATCCCTGGCCAGGAGTTACATCTGGTTGCCAGGGATGGACAAAAGACATTGAGACATGGGTGGGAACATGTGCTAAACGCCAGAAGTTCAGACTTACCCCCCCTCCTGCACCTACCCTCGAGTGGGAGACACCTAGGGGCCCCTGGTCGAGGATCCATATAGATTTTGCCGGTCGCTCAAAAGTATATACATTCTTAATAATTGTCGACGCTTACTCCAATTGGTTGGAGGTCAGCGTCATGCAGTCCACGACGACAGAAGCCGTCATCAAACAGTTAAGAAAACTATTCGCAACACATGGGTTATCGGACCTATTAGTCTCAGACAACATCCAAGACAAAATCAATAAAATGCTAACCTTCCAACATATAACACCGAACACTACGACTAACAAGAGCCCAGCAGAACTCCTGATGGGCAGGAAACTACGGTCACACCTGGATAGATTACACCCCACTTACAACTCCGAAAAGCCACCAGACTCCTCCAGTAAATACCACACATTTACAACAGGGGATCTGGTATACGCTAAAAACCTTACAGGGCACCCACTTTGGATACTGGCCAGAATAACCCAAATAACGGGACCCCGGTCATACTGGCTAGAAACGGAGGACGGAAGAAGCTGGAAAAGACACATAGACCAACTAAGGTCTAGAACAATAGAAAGAAACACCGACAACCCGGGTAACATAGAACATCCACACACACAAATACCACACCAAACAGACTCCGCGGCTCAGCGGTTAGAACAGATTTTACGAACTAAATAAAGAACTGAAAGTCACGCTTGTCTCGAGTCTCTTTTCTCGCTATCTAACAGGGTTGGGGGTTAGGGGTTAGGGGTTTGGGTGTGAGGGGTTAGGGGTTAGGGGTTGGGTTAGGGGTTAGGGTTAGGGTTAGGGTTGTTAGGGTTAGGGTTAGGGTTGTTAGGGTTAGGGTTGTTAGGGTTAGGGTTAGGGTTAGGGGTTAAGGTGAGTTTGAGTGTGAGTGTAAGTTTGAGTATGAGTTTGAGTGTGAGTGTAAGTATGAGTGTGAGTATGAGTGTTAGTCTGAGTGTGAGTTTGAGTGTGAGTTTGAGTTTGAAGGTTAGGGTTAGGGTTAGGGTTAGAATTATGGGGATGGTTGGGGTTTGGGTTGGGATATGGGTTGTGGCTAGGGTTACATCTAGGATTAGGACAAGGGTTAGGGTTAGAGTTAGAGGTTAAGGTGAGTTTGAGTGTGAGTGTAAGTTTGAGTGTGAGTTTGAGCGTGAGTGTGAGTGTGAGTTTGAGGGTTAGGTTTAGGGTTAGGGTTTTAGGGTTTAGGGTTAGGGGCTAGGGTTGGGGTTGCGGTTAGGGTTTGGGGGTTAGGGTTTGGGGTTAGGGTTTGGGGTTAGGGGTTAGGGTTGGGTTGGGGGTAAGGGGTTGGGGTTAGGGTTTAGGGTGTGCTGACCCGGCCCGTGTGTCAAATTTTAAAAGTCAATGCGGCCCCCGAGCCAAAATGTTTGCCCACCCCTGCCCTAGAGCCAGAAATGACTAGCATGGATGTGCGGGGGGGGGGGGGGGGCTTATACCTTTTGAAAGAGGGATAGCTCTTGAAAGCACAAATGTCTTTGCTTTATGCCTAATACACACTGTTGATCACTTGCAGAAGCTCCAGATGTGCTAATTATTTTTTTATCTTTCTTTCAAGGATGCTTTGGAGGATAAACTGGATACCAAACATTACCCGTACATCTCCACTCGCTCAGCTGCTTCCTTCAGCAGTACAGGTGCTGTCAGGTAAGAATGGAGTGTTCTGTTAAATTGCAGGTATCCCTCGTCTTACGACCCCGATTGAAATCAAAAATTTATGCTGTTCATTGAGACATTTGTTAAATGAGTTTTTCCCCATTTTATGACATTTTGGGGGGGCTCAGCTGCTAAGGACATCACTACAATTGATAAGTTAGCAATCCAGTCATTAAGTGAATCTGGCTTCCCCATTGTCAGAAGGTCGCAAAATGGGATTGCGGGACCTCTCTGGGACACTGCAACCCTCGTAAGTATGAGCCAGTGGCGGTTGGATTTTGATCACGCGGTCATGGGGATTGCTGCAAAGGTTGTAACCGGGGAAAACGGTCGTGATTGGCTTTTTCTCAGTGCTGTTGTAACTTTGAATGGTCAGTAAATGAACTGTTGTAAGTCAGGGACTACCTGTATCAGGTTGAAGGAAGCATAATTAGGTTTAAGTGAAGCCTAGATTTAATTAATTAGATCTAAGTGAAGCGAAGTATGAATTGGAGATGTGTAAGTTCATCAGTTGGGGAGCAGAATATTGGTGGACATTTTTAATGTATTTATTTGTAACATTTATTGGCCACCCATCTTACCTCAGGTTAATGGGACATTGTATCTCCCCATGTTGGATATCCATCATCCATCTAATCTATCTATCAATCATCTATCTCTCTATCATCTATCTATCTATCTATCTATCTATCTATCTATCTATCTATCTATC